GTCTCATAAATTCCAAAGCCAATAGGCAACTTATAGAGCACAATGCTAGACTGGAGCTTAGAAGTGATGCAGGGGAGAAGATTTCTTGTGAAGGCAGGGCTTGGACTAAAGTGAAGCTAGGAGACCATCTGAGCTTTTGAACACGTGTCTAATCTGGGACAGTTGGTAGCAGCATACTTACGGGGGCAGGAGGGGGTGGTAGCAAGCCATAGTTCATTGATCAGGAGTTTCAAAAAAGAGAGCAAGTTTCAGATGGTCCAGCTCTTCTCTCTCTTGAGTTTTCATCATGGCTACTGCCCCTCCTCCTGGGCAGTCCTTAACTTATATAGACCTTATGACCTCATTTACCTGTTCCAATGGAGGCCAGCACCTGTTGGCTGCAAGCCAACCGATTTGAAATTCATCACTGGTTGCTGGGCAGACTGGCACGGTCTCTAGCCCCCTCCCAGTCAGGTTGGCAGTGCGTAGAACAATAGGGAGCGTAAGCCCCTCACCCAGGTATGTGATGCCAGTCACATAGGCAGAGGGAGCAGGTTTCCCCTCTCCCTCAGGAATGTATCCAACTCAGGTTACCTAAAGAGATGGGATGTGTGCCCTCTGCAGGGCCCATATTAACCAAATTGTCACAGAGCAGAGTTTTTGGGAAGAGACAGAGGTGGTCTTCTGGTCTTCTGCCACAGAGCTCATAAGAAATGCAATTTTTCTCACTATAACTTTTCATTCTTTTCCATCTCCATTAAAAGTTCACATGAAGATTTTTTCAGAGAAAAACATGAAAAAACTTACACATTTTGGTATTCTGTTACCTTTTTGGGAAAGCATTTCAAGTTTTTGGTTTTCAGTTTTTTCATGAAAATATTCCTTTTTAACAAAAACCCACTTTTTCAGTAAAACAAATGACCAGCTGTACTAAGAAAAGGTCCTTTAAGATTTGGTCTCTATAAATACACATGGTTAATCAAAATTAATTAAAAAAACTTTGCAAAAATCAACAAGGAACCATCATGATGCTAATCTTGTTATACATTTTCTTTCTTCTTGGATAGTCTTACTCTCAGCTGAAACAATCAAAGCCCCACATTTCAATATGTAAATATTAGCAGTGTTTTCATCACAAACCTAATGAATTTACAAGATTTTCCAAATTAGCCTGGAGGGCTTATATCACAGAGGCTGAATCTCAGGTGAATGGCTCATACTAAATCCACTTCAAATACAATATACTCTCTGCATGAAGGGCTTGAATATGTACATAAACTTAGCCTGGACCAACACTTTATTTTCCTGCCTGTTTCAAAGCTAATATTAGTTGACCACATCAAGCTATGAAGTAGTTTTCCCTGCTGTAGCTCCATTGATTACATTAGTATTACACTAAGGATGAATTTGTTTTATTCAAGTGCAAATGAAAGCCAGTGTTCTCCTGTGGATGTGGAGATGTGATGTGGTCACACCTTTACTTCATGAAGAGGGAAGATACCTTCCTCCTACTGTCCACTTCATTTATGAGCTTCCAGCCAGTCCCATTGCTTGAGGCCACTGCAGCTGAATTGGGGATCCTGTGAGTTGGCCATTGGAAGGTAGAATCATGGGCTTCAGCTTTCAAAGGCCTGCAGTTGAGGACAATATTGGGTTGCCACAGTAAATTCAGAATTTTCCCTCAATTCAGAACTCTCCTGAGGACATCCAGCATATTCTCTATGGTTACAATCCATCTGAACCCCGAGGCTCAATGGGGCACGTACTTTAAGTAGAGCTTGTGTGAAGGGCCATGCCATGCCCTGTCTGCTTTGGGGTGACTCACACATGATCAACAGTACATTGGTGCAAACTAGGTGATAATCCACAGGTTGACATTCAGCCCTGTGCTAAGGCCAGTTCAAGGACTATACACCAGATGAGGTCTTAATTTAAGGGCTTCAGTGGGCCTTGTGCAGTAGTATCAATTTCATCCTTACCTGGGATTGTTACTTAAGGGGGAAAGCAATAGAAAAGGCTGTTTTCAAAAGCAAAGCCCTAATATTTTATCATCTTTTGCTGCAGGGGGAAAATGATCCCATCAGACCTTGAAAGAAGAATTCTTGAAGCTAAACAAAAAGTAAGTGCATTAGCATGTGCCTTCAGAAACAGTAATGGAGTTTGAGCTTCTTCATATACGAAAATGCATTAAGGTCAATGTAGTTAAAAACAAACAAAAAACGATTAGATCCCATTTTGCAGCAGGTAGTTCAGAACTTTTAAGAAAGATCAGTCACTCTTTCTTATGTTGTTCTATATGTTAAAACATATATACAGCTCCTGTATGTAATTTTCATATGCACTTTAGACTCCCAGGCTAAGTACAGACAGTCTAAAAGCCCGAGGATGAATCAATTCAGTCTCTGCATGTTACTGTAAACTGCAGAGATTAAACTGAGAAACGACTGGATACACATTTACTTTTGATTCAGGAAATGTAGCCACATGCCTGCAGTGGCTCAGGCCAGAAGCTGGGGGGGTACTAGAGCACGCCTTTCTGGCATGTAGCCATTATGGGCTGTGTGTTTGCTTCCTCTCATAGGCAACACATATGGGGTGCACAGGAGTGCAGGTGCACCCCCTGAGAGCGCTGGTGCCCCCCTTGAGAGCAAGCGCTCTCAGCTTAGGCAATGGGCAGGGGGGCAGGAAAATCACTGGTGCCCCCTTCCCCTGCACTGAGAAGTGCAGCTGGCACTTTCGGGCTTGGCCCCCACCCCCGCATCAGGGATCAGCCGCAGGGACCCCCGCCCCCGCCACCAACTGCGCTGCAGCCCATCCTTGCTGCTGATGCTTGCATTGCCACCTGTGGACAATCGTCGTGCCCCCTCGGCCTCAGGAGGCATGCATTGCATATGTTTCCTCTTCCTCCTGCCCCCAAAGTCTCTGGGATTTGCAATCCACAATCACAGCAGCAGCACTCTCCAGAGTTGCTCATCACTTTCTCTTCCTGCTTCCAGATGCCTCTGGGATTTGTAGTCCACAGTCACAGCTAGCATTAAGTTTCAGTAAGTTTAGCATCAAGGCAACTCCCCTCCCTGGCCCCAGACCCCAGCTAGGATTTGCTGGGGGGCCGGGGGGTGGGGTGGGGAGAACAGTCCCTCCCCCCCTCCCCACACACACATACCTTTCTCTGCTGGAGCAGACAGCCCAGCCCAGCCCAGCCCAGGGCTAGAAAGCATGCTGGGGGACTGTGATTTAACTTGAACCAGGAAGGGGTCTGGGACAGAAGTTTCATAAACCAGTTTGACCCAAATCATTTAAGTGCAATACTACATTCAAGCAGGTTTATCTTAAACTAGTTTCAACCATTTCAAAACTGGTTTATGTGCGCTGAACTTATGTTCTTTACAGGTTTAAACCAGTTTATGATTACTTAAACTGGTTTATGTGTAATTTCTGTCCCTAGCCCAATACACAATTAATTTGACTCACTGTGTCTGTTGATTTCAGTGGAGCTATTCATGTATTAAAAGTTATGCTGAAGCACAAGACTGCAGGATCAGAGCCTTAAAATGTAAACTCCCTGGGGCAGGGACAGCATCTTTTTACCTGATGTACATAATCTAGCACTTTCTGAATGCTAAAGAAATTGAAAGAATCATAATATACCAACAGGTTAATTCCAAATTTGCCAAAGATTTTTGTTGTACACTGAATCTCTATGATAGAGGTAATTTTACATGGCATAACACAGAATACACATTTTTTGTTTCTGACAGAGGCAGGAGGTGGGTTGTTCATTCTAAAGTTTTTCTTCCCAATGCATACCCTCAATACCGACCTTGGAAGTTTGCTGCCACCTTTAGACAGAAACTGTAACATCACTGCTATATCAAATAAGAGAAGCGAAAAAAATAGCATGCGAGTTCCTGATTTCCAAATAGCATCTCATTTTTTCATAGGAATATAGATACCTATGTGTTCACTCTGGAGGAGCACAGCAGCTACTGGAATTAAGCTTATTTTTTTAATTACTTTATTGTACAACTACACTCTGGCTACTTGGGAGGAAATCAAACTATTGCAGGTGGAGGTGGGTTTTATTTGTCAATGAATAGTCTCTCTTTTAAAAATGTCTTTCTCCTTTGCATAGGGATTTGTTCCTTTCTTAGTGAGTGCCACAGCAGGAACAACAGTGTATGGTGCATTTGATCCACTCATTGCTATTGCAGATATCTGCAAGAAATACAAAATCTGGATGCACGTGGATGTAAGTACTGTATTAGTCTCAGGTCACATCCTGTGTTAACATGCATTCACTCATGCACATATAGTGTCATTTTGTACAGCTAACAACATACCTGGTTCCTGTAATGAAAACTACACCTAGGGATCAATTCTCCACTGATTTGGAGAAAGCCTAGGCTTCTGGAACAGACTGGGCATGTGAAACCCTTTAAAAATAAAGGCATTTGATTTTAATTGCCTGAACATGAACTTACATGACTGATGTTTGAAACCCTTGTTTGAAAATCTATGCCTTATTTCTAGACATTATTAAAATAAAAAAACCAACATATTTTCAGGCCCATTGCCTGAAAAATGGGGGCTGGGGTGGTGTGTAGGGTTACCATATTTCCAGTTTCAAAAAAGAGGACACCTGTTGGGGAGGGGGAAAGGGGTATCATGATTGTGGGGTGGGGTAGTGATATGCCCATGCCCTGTCCCTGCCCTTCACTCCCAAACCACAGCCCCCACAGCCCTGCTGCTGCCCCTCACTCCCAATCCATAGAACTCTACCCCTCAGACCATGCTTGTGCCTCTCACTCCCAACGTGCAGCCCCCTTGTCCTTGTTGATGCCCCTCACTCCTGACCCGCAGCCCCCTGGCATTGTCTGTGCCCCACACTCCTGGCCCACAGTCTTCCACCCCTCCTGGTGCCCCTCACTCCCAAGGCACAGCCCACCCCCACCTGCCTTGCCAGTGTCCCTAACTACCGACCTGCAGCCCCCTGCTCTCCCCAGCCTTGCAGCATCTCCCAGCTGCCCCACCCCTGTGAGCACAGGCACCAGCACCAGTGCCACCAGCCCAGCCATACAGCTTCCTGCTGCCCCTAAAGAGTCCCCTGTCCCCTCCCGTGCTGGAGGGATAGGCACTTCCCCCACCTCCTCTGCCCCACTACAGCCCTAGTGCCCAAAACAACTACCCCCAATCCCACCAGGCACCTGCCCCACTCACACACCCATCCCCTCCACACACACACGCACATGCATGCGCACACTCCCCAAGCCCTGGCCCTAAAACCCCCACCTCCCATAGACTTACCTGCATCCAGCTGCCGGGGCTGCTCCCACCACTCTGCCTGGCTGCATGCTGGCCACATACATGGGCGCACACAAACACATGTGATGCCTCTGCCTCCAGTTGCCTTCCCCCTACTCCCCCTAGCCCCAAGCAGCTCCTTGCTAGGACAAGCCGGGAAGTGCCAGGAAAAATTTTGATGCTGAGCACAGCAAAACCGGACATTTGTTGATATTTAAAAAAAACACACGAACAGAGATGGGAGGACCCAAAAAGAGGGCACTTCCAGGAAAACCCAGACATGTGATAACCCTAGTATTATGGGCACTAAGGTACATGGTTGACAGCCAAGAGGTTGCAAGTTTGAGGCCATAGCAGAAGCGCTTGTGGTGCAGTTATGTCAGCTGGAAAGTCTACAAACTACCTTGTCACAAGGGCATGAAAAGGAAAGAAGGCTGCAAAATAGACAGTTGAGCAAAATGACATTTTTTTCTAAATTTGCAGACAAATAATACTATAATTTCCCCCCAAATGGCCCCAGTAACTGGGGCATATGCTGAAGGTATTTGCCAGATGACATGCTTACCTTACTGGGGTCCTTGCAGTGGCTTATTCTCCTGCACATGCTGGGAGATCAGCTCTCACAGTTCTGCAAGAGGGGAGGCAGGGCAAACAGCTGTGTTTTGTGTCCCATCCCATTCTATCACCAGTGCCATTCTCCTCCCAGTCACAAAAGTGTAAAGGTCAGTTGACCTTTCAGTGAGTCTTTTTTCCCTACTTGTCTCCCTACCACTGCTTAGGGCAGGCCCAGTGTAGCACTGCCATGTGCTAGTGAGAGAGGAATTAGCTGGACAGGAGGATGATGCTAGCTGGTCCATGGACCTTGACCTACATAATTCCAGCTACAAGCTACCAGAAAAAAACAACAGAAAAAGAACTGTGCTGGTATGGATTATGTTTCCACCCACAGACTGCAGGTCCATCAGAGCTGTGATTTAGCTTCATGCAGCCCACTTTGGAAAGAAAAGGAGCAGACATCAAATTGACCTGAATACATGTGTGTCAGCAATGCAAAGTTACCTGATTTTTAAGATAATGTATCTTGTTTTTCAGGCAGCATGGGGTGGTGGACTACTGATGTCCAGGAAACATAAATGGAAATTAAACGGTGTTGAAAGGTATGATTTATTCTCAAATTATTAGATGCCCCAATGAACTCAGGATTACTACCAAATGGCTCTAAATAAAAATCAACCAGGTTGATGTACTATTAATAACTTATGCCCAATATACACAGTATGCAGCGATCTTTGAGGTTGTCCTCTCAACTGAAATAATATCATTAAGTTCCCTTGTTTAATAGGTATTTTGACTTAAAAGTTGTGGTATATGACTTTGTTTTCTGCTACAGATAATCGATAGTTTCTATCTGTGGAATTCACCTCTTCCAAGCTGCAGAATAGCTTCTGGGTGATTCTCTGTGCAGATCTGTTTAGTGAGACTTAGATGTGCATCTTTAGTAAGAAATGATCCCTGAAGGCCTTGCATTTGGGTTGCCAGATGGTCTAAGATCATCCCATTATTACTGGGGCAATCATGTATAAATCTTCAGATCACTTACAGAATACACAAAAAATCAACGTCACAGTTTCCTGATGTTACAACTCCTAAGTATTTTTGCAATGTCACAACATTCTGGGTTCCACAATGCAGTTGGTTCTATAGAGATTTTTTTATGAGCAGATGAGCTCCTATGCATAGATTCTTCTATGCCCCATACTCCAGTCTTTCTCTGGAGGGTCAATCTCCTTTTCTCATATACATGACTATATAATATCTTGTTGCCAATGAAATCAGAAGCACAAAACCTTTACAATTAAAAAAAATAGCTTAACAAGCTTGATGTATTTTAGTTAACCCCACTCCCCACCAACACCCAACACACACAAACATTTTTTACACTAAAAGTGTGTACTTTGCTTAAACAGAATATACTTAGTGTATCCAGAACAGATAAAAATTCTGCCCCTCCTGTCAGGAGATAGCATGAAAGAGACACATACGTTAAAAAAAAAAATGGATACAAGATAGGAGCCAAATCTGGATTAGAAACTCTGGCTATGTCTGTATTTGAAAGATGTTCAAATTACAAAATTCAAATCCACAACTGGATCAGAATTTCCCTAATGCTCTGCAAAGAGTCATCTCCAAGTAGTGGGCAATGACATGGTTCCCATGGGACATGGGAATCTTGCCATTTCCTAATCTTTCATCATAAGGCGATGAACAGGGACTCAACTTTGATTTTTTCAGGACATGTATACACCTGATATGTCTACATTGAAGACTGTAATAGAAAACAAATACCTCAAATTATCTTTCATAAAGCTAGCTCAGATACTGGAAGCAATGTAACCAAGGGAGCATGAAGTTCTGCACAATCTGATTTACCCTGGTTCTTGGCAGTGTGGAGTGTAAATATACCCACCACGTGTCCATTTTGAAAAAGTAAGCACACACGTGGAATTTTCATGCGGGGAAATACACTGCTGTTTAGTTACCATACATCAAATTGAAACTTATTTCCTTAAATTCCAGTCTGAGCATCAAAGTATGACATATGAACACACAATTAATGTGGCCATGTTTGGATGTTGGTATGTATCTGTGAATACCTCCAGTTTCAAATAATGCCTGTAGACCAAATTCTACCAACCTAAATTATGCAAAACCCCAAATGGTCCAATAGGAATTTGTCACATTTTTTTCATTTTTGCCTATATAATTGTTTTTCTTAAGTGTTGTCGTCAGTAAGCATTTTATTTAAGTATATATCAGTGGTTGGTGACCAGCACTCTGTGACAAAGTGAAAAAACCATGACTTCTCCTTTAACTAATTACAATTTTTTGTATATAACTGGGATGAATTTTGGCAATGGATGACTTGAAAATCAATGTGATGACTTAGGCAGAAAATTGGCACCTGGGCATCACTGTAGGTAAACAACTTTTCTGTTATTAAAAAACAAACCAAAAACAAGTCACCTCTATTGCTCAGAGGGATCTTAAAGAATTGTTTGCATGTGTCTGGGTTAGCACAGATGAAGTTCATAGTTCTCATATCAAAGGAGATTCATAAACTCAGATGCTAGTTTGGAATCATTTGCTCTGGCACCCTAACCAGATGATTGACTCTGAGTTGATTAAAAGCTGCCAGTTGCTCAAAGAGCTGGGCCAAGTAGCCAGATGTTGCCTGTGAAAGAGTATTCCTCACAGGCTTTGCATCAGGTGCCTGCATAGTCCTGTTTAAATAGCAGGAAGGAAAGTGTAGAAGTATTTGTATTCCACTGTGTCCAGGTACAGCATTTGACAGTTGCCTGGTTGAAGAGAGTAAGAAGCAATCTGGGAGAAAATGATAATGGTGTGTATACATCCAAATCACTGTTTCCAAGATCTCTCAGACAGAAAAAAAGCAATCCCTTCAGTGCCAGCTGCTCAAGCATGTGCCTTCATTTTTTAGTTTCAAACTGGGGGCCTTTTTCGTTCGACTAGATATTACACCCCTGAAAGCCAACAGATTCAAGCTTTTATGGAAAGAGGCATCAGTTTCAGTCAAGGGCCTCTAGCAGAGAATGCCCTGCCACCAGCTCCCTCGTGTAGACCCTGGAAGCTACAAGTCAGATTTGCAGGTACAATCTGGAAAGCAGGGATGGGAGTGACCCAAATTGTGTTACAATTAACTGGGGGTGCAAAACAGTATCTGCAGATATTTGTGTCTTCAAAAGGGAGGGCACCAGGTCATGCTGGGGTACATGTTGCCCCTGGCAAATTCTGGGCTAGATTTTTGGCACATCTAATGGTGCTGAAAACTGGGAGTACTGGAGTGCAGCATATCATCTTCCTTTCCTGTATTGTAGGAAAACAGCCACCAGAGGTCCTTTATTCCCCCTCCAATACAGGTATCTGGGGAGTGGGAAGAGCCCTGGACAGAATACTGGGGAGAGTAACCTGTGTCATCTGTAAGGGCAATGCAGATTATTTAATTTTCTCTCCTCCTGGAGATGGGTGGAAAAACCAGACAGGAAACTGCAAGACAATATTAAGAATTATAGAGAAAGGAGTGAAATAAAATTAAAGCTCTTCTATCTCAGTTAGTCAATTTAGCATGCAGATTGTAATGCACCCCCATAAGTAATATTAATGTAACTCATATGATATGTGTACATTAATAATCAAGCACTAATCTCTGGAGACTATTTGTAGAACAAAGCTAGTCATTCAGTCCAGATATTTTTGTACCCACCTTGGGAGCTGTAATTTTTGCTAGCAAATAAGTCAAATCACTTTCTAACAGTCTCTGCCCTCTTGGTAACCAATGGGTATGGACAGAAGTAACAAGTGAAATGTTTCAGATGCCTTTGAAACATTTTGAAGGGCCAGCTGTACAAACATACAAGCCCTTTGAAATGTTCCAAAAGTGCTGGAAGCACTGGGTACTATTTTGAAGTGCATCACTGCTCCATACATGTAGGGAGCATCACAGGGGACCCCTGGGTCCTCCAGTATCCCATGGTATACCATTCACTTCACCACATGCATACACATATGTGGGAGGAGAACGAGGAGTGGAGTAGACTATAGGCACTCTCCTGGAGCAGGGCACTCCCCCACCCCTGGCTGTCACTGCTGATGAACGAGACCAAGATCCTGCCTGAGGCAGGTAAACCCCTTCTGCTGCCACCCTTACCCCAAAATGCTAGGAGCAGCAGTGGAAATCCAGCACCTGGATACCTCTGTGGTTCCAGTGGGGGTGGGCCTGACCCGTAATGAGGGCAAGCAGGGCGCCCGTCCCCTGCCAGGGAGCCTTTGTCAGAGCAGGCAGAACCCTGATCCCAATATGTATGAATTGGGGTTGTGGGGGAGGAAGTGGGACATCAAGCTCCCAGAAAGCCCAGACATGGGGCTGCTGCCAGAGCTGCTGTTGCTGATGCTGAACAGTTTCAGCACTTCCTTTCCCCTCACCCATGCTGCCGCCATCCCCTATCTGCTGTGCTCAGCATACACTTGTCCTCTTTCCCCCAGCCCTCTCTCCTCCTCAGGCACCAGATGAGCTCACCACAGCTCTAGGGTGGAGGCAGCTCCAGTACCCCTGTTCTGACAAAGGACAGAGACTGAGAGCAGTTCCCCCCACGGGCCCCTATAACACAATTTGACTGGAGAGCAGCACTTTTGCATTGTGTCTGGACCTCATAAGCTCATAACCTATTTTCAAGCATGTTACACTGTTCATACCCCCAGACAAACAGAGAGAGCAGGGATGAGGGTAAAAGAGTTGTGTG